GAACAAAGGAAACGTAATGGAGCCCGTGGGTCAACCCCATGGGATTCTAGACCCTCTCTCTACTTTTGCCAACAGAGGCTACAAGGCATCCCCCTTCACTGGTCATACAGTTTCTCTAAAATTTGGGGTGTTTACTAACAAGTAACAGCATGAGTTGAGAGGGAACTGTCAAATAATATGGTGACCAAACTAAATTTTCCTTTGGGCATTTTGCCCTGTTCCAAAAAAAGAGATTCATAATTTTCATAAGCAATATGGTTCTCAAATAACTTTACTTTGTTCTATGAAAAATCAAAAGATGTAAATACCTCCTATAAGCTCTGGGAGCAGTTTCATTTCAGATACTAAATTCTGCCAAGAGACACCATTTTTGGACCTAAGATAACAGGACTAGTGCTCACAGCCAACAAAAGCATCACCAAGTTAAGATATTTCAAACAACTGTAAATTACCTAGGTGAAGACAATTAACACTTATAAGAACAATTAATGGTGGGGTTAGAAGTCAGAAAAAATATAGAGAACAGAAGATAAGAGCAGGTGGGGACAGTGGGTGAAGGGTCTATAGCTTCAAAAGTACAAACATAAAAGGAAATTCGTCATGCCTTACACCACTGAAAATCCAAACGTCAGATCTCATGCATTACTTCACTCCACAGCTCAGATAGGTAGTGAGAAGCAGAATGGTGTAAAACAAGACAAACAGGAAGGAGAGAAAGAAAAAGGCTTGCAACTAAAAGCAAACTGTATATAGCTATTTGGAAGATAGTTTGGCATTTTCCTACACACTTAAATATAGTCTTAGCATTGAATTCAGCAATCACACTCCCAGGTAGTGGGGACTGAAAAACCTATATTCAGACCAAGATCTGCACATGGTTGTTTATAAAAATGTTTCATTCATAATGGTCCAAAATTGCATGTAATCAAGATATTCTTCAAAAGGTGATGAAATAAAGTGGCACATTCATTCAGTGGATTATTTGGAGAGAAAACAAAAGAAGCCATCAAGCCATCAAAAAACTGAAGAACTTTAAGTGTGGGGGCTAAATGAAAAGGCTACAAAATGTACAGGGGCTGGAGCGATAGCACAGCGGTAGGGCGTTTGCCTTGCACGCAGCCAACATGGCCGACCCGAGTTCGATTCCTCCGCCCCTCTCGGAGAGCCCGGCAAGCTAACAAGAGTATTTCGCCCTCTGGCAGAGCCTGGCAAGCTCCCCGTGACGTATTGGATATGCCAGACACAGTAACAACAAAGTCTCCAATGGAGACGTTACTGGGCCCGCCTGAGCAAATCGATGAACAACGGGAGGACTGTGACTGTGACCGTGACCAAAGAGCAAGTATTGGGAATAAATGGTACTGTATTTATGCAAGATTTCTTATTCAACATGAAATTGTACAGCATCAACTTTAAACACACTATGAAAGGTCAACATACTATGAAAGGTTAACACACTATGAAAGGTTAAACACACTATGAAAGGTGTGGGCTGGAGCGATAGCACAGCGGGTAGGGCATTCGCCTTACACGCGGCCAACATGGCCGACCCGAGTTCGATTCCTCCGCCCCTCTCGGAGAGCCCGGCAAGCTACCGAGAGTATTCGATATGCCAGACACAGTAACAACAAAGTCTCCAATGGAGACGTTACTGGGCCCGCCTGAGCAAATCGATGAACAACGGGAGGACTGTGACAGTGACAGTGACAAAATGTACAATTACAACTGTCTGACATCCTGAAAAAGGCAAAAATACTGAAGTGGGGGGGAAAAAAAAACTCTAGAACTTGGGAGATAGGGATGAAGAGAGACAGCCCAGGATATGTTTATGCAGCCCAGGACATTTTTGTTTTAAAGGGAAATATTCTGTGTGGTACGTTTATATATATAATTTTTAAAAAGGAAACTATTCTCAGTGATACTATAAATGGATTATATACAACATTATATGTTTATCAAAAACCAACTAAAACTGCAATCCAAAGAATAAAATAAAATGCAAACTATGAGCTAACAGTGTATTAAAACTGGATCATCAGCTTTAACAAATAGTAAGATGGTGTTAAAACTGAGGGGAAGGGAGGAGTATATGGGAATTTGGAACTTTTTGCTTATTATTTCTGTCAATAAATATATTTATCTAAAAATTACAGTAGAGCCGGGGCAATAGTACAGCAGTAGGGTGTTTGCCTTGCACATGCTGGATCCAGGTTCAATCTCTGGCATCCCGTATGGTTCCTCAAGCAACACCAGGAATAATTTCTGAGTGCAGAGCCAGGAGCAAGCCCTGAGCATCACCAAGTGGGACCCAAAAAGCCAAAAAATAAAAATAAATAAAAATTAAATTATAAATAAACTTACCAAAAACGCAAATCATTACCAGCTTACATATCAGTAGCTTAGAAAAACATAAAACAGGGCTGGAGAGAGAGCACAGCATGCAGGGCGTGTTCCTTGCAAGAGGCCAAACCAGGTTATATCCTGGACACCCTGTATGGTCCCCCGTGCCTCACCAAGAATGATCCTTGAGTGCAGAGCCAGGAGTAAGCCTTGAGTACTGCTGGATGTGGACCCCAAGCAAACACACACAACCAAAACAAACAAGCAAACAAAGAGACAGACTATGGAACGTATTTTTAGATTTTTAAAAAATTATCTATCAAGTCCCCAAATATTTATATGCTGATTTGTAAGAGTTATCAATAAGTAATGATCCCAGAACACAAGAAAAACTAGAAACATTTTGAAAATGAAACAAGGAATATTTTAAAACGTACAATACTCATCCTACAACAATGTTGTGCCTATCCTTTCTCTGAAGCACTTTGCTACCCAAGCTCTTCACAGTCTGCTAAAAAACATTCCAAAAGAAAGAGCCTCTGCCCTGTGGGGCCTGGTTGGCAGAGGCTGCAGACAGCAAGCCGCCTCCTGGGCAGCCTACACCGCCTTGTATGGGCTGTCGTGGGGGTCCCTGGAAATAGTCCTTGGCAGTAAAAAAAAAGGTAAAGGCCCTCCCGTTGATCGTCGATTTGCTCGAGCGGACCCAGTAACGTCTCCATTGGAGACTTTATTGTTACTGTGTCTGGCATATCGAATACTCTCGGTAGCTTGCCGGGCTCTCCGAGAGGGGCGGAGGAATCGAACTCGGGTCGGCCATGTTGGCCGCTTGTAAGGCGAACGCCCTACCTGCTGTGCTAAACATTCCTATACGCTCTCATGCTGACCCCAATTTCAGGTTTTAAACAGCTATCAGGGAGGTCTTTGAAAACCCCAGACCCAGAGTTCACATTGATCAAGCCATCACATCCTTCTGCACCAAACTGAAGAACACGGACATGTGACTGAGGTTCTGCAATGGGCCCAATTCAAGTTTCCTAGTCGCCAGAAGATCCACATCTCTGACAAGAGGGGCTTGACCAAGTGTAATGTGGAGGAGTTTAAAGACAGCTGGCCTGAGAAGTGGCTCATTCGTGATGGCTGTGGGGTCAAATACATCCGTGAACATGGTCCTCTGGACAAATACGGGGCATTGCACTCCTGAGAGCCTTGGAGCTGCCCCCAACAGTCTCTTCTTTCCACCCCAGTACCCAACCATCCCGTCCCACCCACCGTAAGAAACCCTTCTTAAAAAAAGAAAGTGAACAAGGTATTTGTGAGAATGCACTTGAAACATGCTCATGTGTGAAAAGATGAAGATTCTCAGGGTTTACTAAAAAACCTGGTTTCTCTTTCATGTGACACTAAACTAACTATATCTACGTGTCTAAAAGGATTACAGTGGAGATTACAGTACCTTCACCCACAAGAGTACTGATGGTTTGATCAACAGGACTCTCCATAATATCCATGTTACCTTCTCAATGAAAACTTTTTCATGGGTTTAGCATTTATGTTTCTCCAGTAAAGAAACGGAAAAGGAGGATAACTTGCTGAGTAACGTCAGTTAGAAGAAAAGGAATAGATACAGAATGATCTTTGTGCATATGTGGGACCTACAGATATACACAGCAAGATAGCAACAAACAGCCAAAGGCAACAAAAGAGAAGAACTGATCGCCACCATTTGGGAGTGGGGAGCTGGGGAGTGTGACACGTTTGAAAGAAAGGAAATTTGGGTATGTGAGTGATGGGCATGGTACTGGAATTATATTCATGGAAAACTACCAATGAAAGTATTATAAATCACAGAGACTCAACCAAAAATGGAAAATAAAAAATCACTGAAGAAACAGAAATCGTGACCTTGTGTGATTTTGTGAAACATTCAAATCTTATATCACATTGTAGGAAATCAAGGCATGAATACCTCACTTGTTAGAACTATTTCTGTATCTGTACCTTCCATCTTTATTTACAAAATTATAAAATGCTACATCTTATAATTTAAGTTTCTAAGTATATTTTGAAATATGTTTACCTCTAAATATACAGCTGAATATGTTTATAAACATTGTAACAGGAAGTTAAAAACATGGGTGTGGGTGTAGAAAAATGTAAAAAAAAAAACCCACAATCAACAATAGTCAAACTCCTTAACAAGTCTTCTCAAGGTTGAGAATTATTGATCAAGTATCATATCTTCAGGAAGCGTTATTGCTCTCAACTATTTTATCTATGGTCTTGGCACTTATTATAACTTCATGTGCTCTGTAGCACAAAATGATATAAATAGTCTGTTGGTTAAAAGGAATATCTCACTGAAATATTGTCTCCGTGTTCAATGTAAATGCAGAACTACACCCTGTCTTATAATGTTCCATTTTATCTCATCAAATCTACGATAAGTTAATAATGCAAAAACTTTTCCAATAACACGTATCAGTATTTTTGTATGACGATAATCCAATTCTGAAGTCAAAATACTTACAAGCCAATGTCGTATTCTCAGAACTCTGTAATGACATGTGATGTACATTCTACCTAAACCAGACTGACTAGGTTGTACCTTCTACTTAACATTGTACCGGCCACACTGCCAGTCACTGTCCAGAATTGCAGACCTGTTTTTCAGCACTGGTCCTGGCTGATTCCTCTTGTGCGAGCACCATTTCTCGCTCTGCAGTTATCTGCACACTTTCTCTTAGTGCTTCTTCCAGTTCTTCAATCCTGTCATCCTTCTTACGGAGACTGTCCTGGAAAACGATGGAAGACTCGGTGAAGTAGACTAATTAGCTTAAGAAAGTGCTCTCTGCTTATTACGAAAAAAAGTCCTTCCCTTCAGAAGTCATACCAGGCCAAAGAGATAGCGTCACAGAGGAAAGAACAAGGAAGAGAGAAGCGCAGGCAGCTGAGGAAGTGTATTAAGAGCAAAGGGTGAAGTTAGTTTAGCAAGAGGAATGTATGATGAACTAGTTCTCTGTATCAGGAAAATAAAATCGCTGTGTTAGGCAGCTTCAGCGCAAAGGAAAGGCTATTTAAAAAGACAAAACTTTCTGAACTGCTATCTTAACTGGGATTAAAGCCAACTCTGATGAAGCTTCAATAATTGGACTGAATATCAAAACACTCTTCTCCCCCTGCAAAGTTAAGGCCAGTTGAAAAAGTTAAGTAAACAGCCTGGTCTTTCAGATTCTAGTCTTCATACAGACAACTGTTAAAAAACTAATATTTCAAAGTGAAAAAGACGTTTCCTATGAACTTTTACACAGCAACATTTGCTCTTAATGGCATGAAAAACAGAAAATGAAAACGGGGTACAAGTGATTGATCTGACTGGTTAAGGATGAGTAATTTAGTTAGCAAATGAATTGTCACTTATCCTGATACACAGGTTTAAAACTAGCTTTAGGGGAAGTGAATATTTCTATCAGAGGGATAAAATCTTACAGGATGTTAAGATCATATAAATTGAAAAATCTCAAAATAAGGTTAAATGAACAAGCAGCATTTCAAAAGGATAGAGAACTGGCTTCATCAGGTTATTATAAACATTTCTCCTTAAATTCTAATGGAATAAGAAGATAAAGAATAAAGTACTGCCATTAATAAAATATGAAACAAAAAAGATTTGCTAAACCATTCTCCCACTTTCAGAATACTACAATCAGCAAGAAATCCACAACATGTGTTTTTTTAATCTAGACAAATCTAGACAGTTCTCATTTAATTATACTGTACTTCACATTTATAATGGAAGGTACAAGAAAGTCCTTAACAATGTTGTCTTCAGAAATCTGTCAAAGTCAGATATTTTTCTCCTAATTTTGAAGGAATGGCATCATTTAGTTAACCTGCAAAAAGTGAATAGTTAATAATAAAAAGTTAAGTCTTTTGAGGTTTTTTTTTTTGGTTTTTTATTTTTTACTCAATTATAAAGTGAGATTTTTTTTAAAGTTTAGGGGACATTTCCATTAATGAAGAATTTTTCTTCATTCTTCTCAGACACAACACTGTTACTTAGTGCCACAAAAATGGTTTTGTTTACTTAGGGCACTTTAGCTTTCTATTAAAAAAAATTCTTTGTTGAAATGCTCACGGTTTCACATGGCTTGCCACGCACAGTGGTGTGCAGTAAAGATTTCTAAAATGATGCCAGGGGGCACACAGCCAACCCGGGTTCAATTCCCAGCATCCCATAAGATCAGAGCACTGCCAGGAGTAATTCCAGTGCATGAAGCAGAAGTAACCCCTGTGCAATGCCAGGTGTAATCCAACAAGCAAATAAATAAATAAATAAATAAATAAATACAATGATGCCAGGAGACAAGGGAATGAGGGCTGTAAAAATAAAGGCAGTTTCCTGATTTTAAAAAAATAAGAAAAAGAAATGCTAATAGAAGGATTATGTGAAAAGATAGCTTCATGCTCCCAAATCTTCTAGAAAATAATTATATTTGTATTAACATGGACTTCTAAATCTTAGACTGTTGTATATTTTTTTAAATAAAAAATACCACTAATGTTTCCCACTATCAACCTGTGAACTACTTAGCATTGAGCTTTTGCCATCATATCCATCATATCCTTCACTCTTTGTCGGGGTGGTGCCACACCCTGCAGTACTCAGGGGTTACTCCTGGCTCTGCATTTAGGAATCACTCCTGTCAGGGGACCATATGGGATGACCGGGATCAAACCTGGGTCAGTCATATGCAAGGCACATGCCCTACTAGCTGTACTAATGCTCTGACCCATACAGCTCTCAATCTTAAAATGCTTTTGAGGTCTCCAGACAGGTTTTAGTTAACCTATAAAAACAAAGCTGGACAGGGCTGGAGTGATAGCACAGTGGGTAGAGCGTTTGCCCTGCACGTGCCAACCTGGGTTCGATTCCCAGCATTCCATATGGTCCCCGAGCACCGCCAGGAGTAATTCCTAAGTGCATGAGCCAGGACTAACCCCTGTGCATCACCAGGTGTGACCCAAAAAGCGCAAAACAAACAAACAAACAAACAAACAAACAAAAAACCCGAAAACCAAAAAGCTAAGCTGAAAAATTACTCTAAATAATTCCAAGTGAACTGGTTTAATCTGTACTACTCTGTGAACTGAAAACAAATTTGTGGTTTTATTAGTAAAATTAGTAGCAGTAGTATATTAAAATAATTATTACTTATTAGCTTCTCCTAGTCCACACCTGGTGGTCCTTAGCAGAGATGGAGGGTGAGGAGCACGCGTACAGTCACAGGGACTGAGCCCAGGGCTACACACATAGAAGGCCTATATTCTACCGCTTGAACCACATCTCTGCGCCCTAAATCTTTTGTTTTAAAAAGAGAATTACTAGTAATTTCTCATAATTAAGATGATTGATACTGGTTTTCATACTGAAAGTTTCCTCAAAACCCAGAGTCAACTAGATATGTTTAGTGTACATCAAGGTCATTTAAGTTTCCTGGAATTAATGGCAGAGTTGGTTCAAAATCTTTATGGAATGGACAAAGAAAAACAAACAAACAAACAAGTGAAACCATACATAAAAAGAAAAATAGAAGGGCTGTCAAATAGTCATGAGATATTATATATTAATGTAACACCTCAATGTAAAACAAAGTATGAGCGAACCTATTCTTAAGGAAATAATTAAACTAGGGGAGTAACCAGAGAATGAAGCAATATCATCATTACCTTCATCACCAAGTCCATACATAACTGCTTAATCCCCATGTAAATGAAACTTAGCTCCAATTAGTTTTGGAATCCTAGTAAAAACCTTTTATGGAAGGCCAAAGAGACAGATAGAATTTCGGGCACCTGCCTTGCTGCACGTGGCTGTAAACTGATTGGGTCGAACCCCTGGCATCACAAATGGTCTCCAGACACCACCAAGCTTTGCAGCAGAGCAGAGAGCCAAATGTGTACGGCAATGCCAGGTGTAGCCCCAAAACAAAACAATCAAAAAAAATCTGCTAAGATAAACCAAGGAAGGACGTCACTTTATACTAAATACCGTGAATCTATTTAATGTAATGAAATATTAAGCCAATGTCAGAAAGAAACAGAATCAGTTAGTTCTATAAATATTGGGGCCCTGAAACACTGCTAAAATATACAATTAATCTTTCTTGCACCCACACTTTCAATGAAGTACCTTTTTTTTTCTTTTGTATTTAAGTTTTAACATGGGCCCACTCTTAGGAGAGGTATCAAGGATGAAACCCAAGGGCTTACACATAAGAACGTGCCCTACCACTGAGTGACCTATCTCCTTTCCTCCCTTTTAAAGTTTCGAATGTAAGAGAAAATAAAAGACCTTTAGAAGTTCTAGAAAGAACAAAACTGATGACCCCCAATAAACTCAAAGTGGAAGATGTTAGCACTTTTTGTTTGTCAACAACACTGAAAACTGAAAGACAACTGAAGTAATGCCTTTAAACCCCTGAGGGAAAGATAATATAATTTCTGTGCTAAAAATCTAATATCCAAGCCACTGAACAAGTGGGAGGGTAGTTACAAAGCCTTAAAGAGTTTACTTCACAGACTCGTTCAAAAAAGGATGTGCTCTATCAACAGAAGCAGCAAAAACTAGACAGAGAAAGGTATGGGATCCCTCCAAAAGTGGCCCAGCTCACGAGGGAGTGACGAGGAAAAAAGTCAAGAGGGAGCACAGGCCTTGAGAGTGCAGTTTAGGGCGGAGGATAGAAATGTGAGAATCAGTGTTTTCAAGGGGGAAAAGGTGACATATAGCTTCCCTCAGACAAATTGAGAAGAGATTCTGTATTTTACAATAGCAGCAATATTGGGATAAACTTTCTAGTTTGATAGAAGAAAAACTGGCTGGTACATGTATTGGCCAATACAAACAAAAACTTAAACAACTGTTACCAACAAATTAATACTAAAAGTATAAGAAAGGAGATGTAATCCTAATATACTATGTGCCTTGAACACAACGCAAATCTTGATGTTGCAAAGATGGAAAGAGTGGCTTCTATAAATAAGTGCATTTCTCATAGTATTAAGAAGAGAACTAATGACTAAGAAAGAAAAGTTCTAGAATATTTTAAGAACATCACTTGGAATGATGGATGTAGAAGCAGAAAAAACAACCAAGGAGGTAAAGATCATCTCCAGAGAGTAGAAATCAGTTAGACAACAATCAGGGAGAAGGTTAATATCTGTAGTAGACATGCAGTTTAACTTTCTAAATGGGTATAAATGCAAACTATCAAAGAAAAAGTATATTCTACAATTATACCTCAAGCCAGTCCTACCTACGGGTAAAAAAAAACTTTAAGTAAAATTCTGGATTAATTTCAAGTTGCCATGCTCTTCTATTGTTTTGTTTTGATTCAAGTTCCGTGAATTTCATGATGCGAATAATTTGTATGTGGCCGACAATTAGATGAGAAATTCCCTTTAGATCTTTGGTTAACTGTGAAATACTCCAAATAAGAATAATTTTTACAGGAATGTATATTGTAAGAAGCTCTACCAATTATTCTAAAGATTCTGAAGATACGAAAAGCTTAACTCAAGAACATGTTTAAGACACAACACAAAACCAAGAGCTTTGAAAATTCCTTTACATCCCCCGCCCCTGCCGTGTTTTTATGCAAATATCTCTTTTTAAAAACTATTTACAACGAATGGGGGGCTGGAGTTATATACAGCGGGTAGGGCGTTTGCCTTGCATGCAGCCGACCTGGGTTTGATTCCCAGCATGCCATATGGTCCCCTGAGCACCGCCAGG